TTGTGCCTTCTAGAGTGTTTACGAGCGAAAAATTGAACACGTTTTCAATGACAAGGGCAATAATTCATACTAAATATTTTTTGATTTTGCTGATTTTCAAAAGGGTTTATCCTTGGGTGATTACGAACACTCATACCAAGTTTCGTTAAAATCCTTCAAGAATTGTGCCTTCTAGAGTGTTTATGGGCTAAAAATTGAATGCGTTTTCAAGAACAAGGGCAATAATTCATACTAAATATTTTTCGATTTCACTGATTTTCAATAGGGTCTATCCTTGGGTGATAACGAACACTCATACCAAGTTTTGTCAAAATCTGTCAAGAATTGTGCCTTCTAGAGTGTTTACAAGCTAAAAATTGAACGCGTTTGCAAGAACAAGGGCAATAATTCATACTAAATATTTTTCGATTTCGCTGATTTTCAATAGGGTTTATCCTTGGGTGATTACAAACACTCATACCAAGTTTCGTCAAAATCTGTCAAGAATTGTGCCTTCTAGAGTTAAAGAGCTTAACGAGCTAAAATTAACAAGGGCAATAATTCATGCTAAATATTTTTCGATTTCGCTGATTTCAATAGGGTTTATCCTTGGGAGAATGCGAACACACATACTAAGTTTCGTTAAAATCCGTCAAGAATTGTGCCCTGTAGAGCAATTGTGGACGGACGGACAGACGGACATGGGTGACGACAATATACGCCCCCCATTTCATGTGAGCGTATAAAAAGGCTCTATATCTAAGACCTTTCTTCTAAGATATTTTGTCTCAGAGGCAGTGAGATCCACAATTAACAAAGATAGACTATAGACTATAACAATTTCTATATTTTTTCCATAATTCCCTGATTTTGTTTAAGCATGAACATAATGAATTATGCTGCATTCAATATTTCTTGTAAATGTTTTATTAAAATGATCAATGAAACTCAATGTACTTTGGAACCTCGTGGTAATGGAGAAAAATTGTTGTGATAGAATTTCAGAACTTCTAATACCTTACCTGCCAATCTGTTTAAAAATGTTTCTGTG